CGTCTGTATGTCCGGGTACGACCATTGCTAGTTCCTCCTGAGTGAAAAACAATCTTGGGGGAGCAGGATTACTAGCTTTCCCTTTGAAGGTCGGCCTGTCTCTTACCGGCATGACCTCCTTCAGGTACTTTCTTCTTGGATTGGCCGTGTCTCCTCCTCCGCTCAGAGCTCCGCTTATCACGTTGCATTCAAATTCAGCCTCCTGAAAAGGCTCGTCTTTATCTTCGACCTCTTTGCCCTTTGCAGAGCGGTCTTGTTTCTGATCCTTTCTGTCCTCTCTCTTCGAGCTTCGACTTCGGCTTCGGCTTCTCTGCCTTCGCTTATTATTCTTCTTGCCCTGAGTTCGGATGATGTACTGCTTTAATTTGCCCTCTCTGATGTGCTTTTCGATTGCATCTCGGAGGTCCCAGCAGTCATCCGTGATATGACCGTTCTGGTCATGGAAGGTGCAATACTTATTTCTATCCAATCCACTCTTGGCTTTAAGGGGTCGAGGTCTCTCGACATTACGCATTTCAGTCTGGGCCACCTCTTTCCATATCCGAGATCTGGACATGTTCAAGGGCGTGTAATCATCATATTTCCTCCTTGGAGACCGATCTTCCGACCTCTTATCACGAGTGTCCTTCGATTTCTTCGATCCCCGCTGGTCCCGGTCTTTGTTGTTTTTCTTACTCGGACTCCCGTGATTTGGGCTTCGACCTCTGGATTCCGCATAAGCCTTCTGCATGTCCTCCACGTCAATATACTTGTTCGACCTTCGTCGAAACTCCTCCAGGTCATTGACCAGGTTCTTGTAAATTGACTTTGCCAGTGGAGAATCGCCATCTAATCCCGAGATGATCAGATGCAAGTGTACTGGCTCAGTTAAATTCTGAACTTTTAGGGCGGCATCTTTGAACCTATCGAGGTATTTCCTCCATGATTCATTCTCCTTTTCTCGAATTCTTCCTAAGGCGTAGGCCGGCATTGGATGCGCCTTGCTTGTTGCAAAATTCAACCGAAAAGTTCGGGCTAGGTCCTCGAACGAGTCAATCGAGTTCCTGGGAAGCCTGGTTATCCAGGCCATTGCCTGGCCTGTTAACGTCGTCACGCAGATTCTAGCCTTGATAGGTCCAGTTATCCCATTGAACAACATTTTGGTCTTGAAAGCCTCTAAATGGGCCTCCTGGTCTTGACTTCCGTCGTACGGTGGTATCTTGGCACTCTTGAATCTCGACGGTATTGCCAAGTTCATGAGCCTTTTAGTGAATGGGCTATCGTTAGCCTCCTCATCAAGGAGATAATTATCTCCTTGGTTGTTGATTGGTCCTCTGCCCTCCTGGTGGTTGTCATGGCAGGGATTCTGCATATTTCCTTCTATTGTGGCCGCGTTTTGATGTTGTGGCTCATTAGCCTGGCCTGCGCATCCACCTCGGCCTTCTCTTCCACCTCGGCCTGCTCCTCCAACTCGTCCCACAAGGTTTTGATTTCGCAGCTCAGCCTCCAGCGCCTCCATCCCTTGAGCATTCAGCCCTTGTTGAGCCAAGAATCTGTTCTCCATCTCCTACATCCTTTGGAGGATCGCATTCATGGCCACAATGGTTATGTCCCTGGATTGTTCACTGTGTGGAGGTGGGCGCACTGGGCCCGCTGTCGTGTTGGGCTAGGTTCTGGATGGCAGTCCTTGAGTGCCGACCTCGCCGACCTGGACCTCTATTAGCACAGGGGTCGCAGCTGATTGGAGTTGTTCCAATGCAAGTTGGTGTGACGGCATACCATAAGGCTGAGGCTGAGATTGGTATGGCGGCATTTGGGTAGTGCTGGACATCGAACGAGTGTTCGTCATCGTGGAATGGGAATCGAAATTTATCGCTTCCCACAAACGGCGCCAATGTTCGGTCCTGGATTGACCGTATTGCTATACCGTGAGGTATGCGCTCAGAGATAGTGTATATCAGGTGTATACTAGGCTTATAGCCGATGTCCCAATCACTGCGCACAAGCAATAGGCTTATAGCCAAGGGGTGGGTGTGTGCACAGTGTGGGCAATATCAGTAAATAGGTTCCCAGTTTTTACCTGGGGTCCTTAGGCACTTATTTATAAGGTTTACTTTCTTAGGCTTGGGCCTTTTGAGCTCCCCCAATTGCAAATAGGATTCAACTCCCTTTCTATTGGGATGTGATCCTTATCTTGTGCCCTTTGACTGTTTAGAGTTGTTGAGATGCTGGTGACTCTATCTCTTAATAGATTCTTAGGTAGGTAGTTGGGATATGATATTCATATCCATAACAAGTATAGCCATCTTATTTCTCTTAGGGGGTGTTTGGTTCGAGTTTTTGGAGAGGATTACCGGTAATCCTTCTTTGGTAAATGTAATTACCACGTTTGGTAGAAGGAATAAATTACGATTCCCGGATATCCAAGGATTACCGGTAATTTGATTTATAAAGAAAAGTCACTATTCAGATTACCAAAAATAATATGGTAATTCGGAATACCAATCAGAATACCAAGTAAAGGGAAAACATAACAATAAATTTTGAGACAAAAATACTCCAATACACATAAAAATCTAGACCCAATCTATCAATTACAAAAGTAAAAATAGTTTGGGGTTATTTTTGTAAAATAATCTCATATTCCAAGTCATATTTCGTTCTAAACCAAATATGGAATCAATAATTTTTACCCAATATTCCCGGTAATATTTTGGCGAACCAAACACATCTTTCGTAAGATTCCAAGTAAACTCAATTTCTACTGAATTCCCATTAATCATGATTCCCGGTCACCAAAAAATTTCTCTTGTACCAAACACACCCTTAGGTCCTTAAAAAAATTGTCCTTTTTTGTAGGGTAAATATGGTGTTTACAAATCATAGTATAGCCATATAAATATATCCATAATAGATTTGAAAAAATGTTTACATTTTTATAATTTGACGATTTGAAAATTTAAGTATATCTTATTTCGCTTAGGTCCTTAAAAAAATTGTCCTTTTTTGTAGGGTAAATATTGTGTTGAATTTTACCTAAAGTGTATGAATTTCTTAGAATGGTTCTTTATTCTTCGCTAGTCTGTCACGCTGAAGTTGAGTTTTGATTTTGGAGGTAGATATTTTGACACCAGTGTCAAATTTGAAGTTTGACACATCACATAAGAGCCGTTAAATCAAAAAAGATCAAACGTGTCACATGCTTATAAATCAGAGTCGTTGATCATTTTTTATCTAATAGCTCTCATATAAGATGTCAAATTTCAAATTTGACACTAATGTCAAAAGATCTACCTCTTGATTTTGACAAGGTTTATTATATTTTCATGGGACACGCCACTTCTTGCGATTTACATAGAATAATTTGGCCCTAACTATTTTCAATCATTCGTACTTCAGAGTTCAGCAATTATTAGTATGCAGTTGGTTGTTTAAGGGTACCCTTCAAGATGGACATGCCTTAATGTAGTCTTCAAGAGCCAAACGGAAGATAACGAAGGATAGACTAAGAATGAATAATATAAAATGTTATGAATAGTAAGCAAGATGTAAGCATATATTTGGACATGATGAGAGATATAAGCTGTGTCCTACTCCTACCTATCATTTAAAGATATGATCTCCACATAAAGATTCTTGAGCGAGTCATTTGGTTCACCCTTTAAGGTTTGAGACACCAGATAAATTATAAGTAGCCATAATTGATTGAAAATTTGATTTATAAATATTCATGGTCTATCCAGATTACCAAAAGGCATGGATTATGTAAAAACATTGGACCAAAATCCGAGAAGATCCGGAAGCTATTTTTTTTTTCTTCAAATTATTATTATTATTATTGAAGCACTCATAGTCCTTGGCTTTCTTGTTTGAAGGAAATTTCAAGGGACTGTAATTATACTGTTGATCCATGTAAAGCAACATAAATAGTCAATTTCATTTTTGTCTGCAAGGTACAACATTCCATTTTTCATACTCAGCCTTGCCTCCAAAATCTAGATTTTCACATTGGCATATCCTCAAAGGAATAAAATATTATGTCTACTTTTTTATATTCCTATTATTTTTTAAATCGTTAGATCAGAATCTTAATTAATTTTCACTATTTTTCTTTCCTCTTGATAGTCTGATCTAACTGTATTAAAAATGAGTAAGTGGAAAAAGAAGAAGCATAATATCCTATCTCACGCTTAAAATTTTTGCAAAGAAATCACACAAATTGTAAAACAGAAAAGAGCTAAGGAAAGAAAAGAATGAACACACAAATTTATTATGGTTCACCCGATATGGGCTTTAACTTTTTATGTATTTCACCAATAAGTGTCTTTGTCTCAATGCGAAATATGAGCCGTAACGAACATAAAAGGCACACAAAATAGACTTCAATCTTGTTGGGGTTATGGCCCCAACAATTTCAAAATAGACTTCAATCTTGTCGGGCTTATGGCCCCAACAATTTCTTCTGTGTGTGCCTGCATAATTAATTGCTTGGGATTCAACATCCGGATCCGTTGATACCAAACATGCATCCCTGATGTCTGGGGCCCTGTATATGTCATATATTTTGCCAAATGAATAAAAAAATAAAGTTGCACCCAATAAGTGTCATAGATTTTGGCATAATAATAAGCGCTAGATCCTAACAAAGCTTTAATTTTATTTCAGAAGATGAATAAAAATGCTAGACTTTTCACACAATTGATGATTGAAAAAAGGTCCCCTCAAGCAGATACTGCAATTCATGGATCTTCCCTCTGACATTTGGAAAAACAGTTAAACAGAATACTCCTTCCCTAAAGCTATTGTTCTTCCCAAGTTTTAAATAAGAAATAAGAAAAGACTGTAAACATATTGGGAAGAAAGAGTAACATGATCAAATTTAGACCATCATGTTTAACACACAAAAAAAGAAAAAAGAAAAAATACAATCTCTTTGCAAAAAATACATGAGTAAGCTGCGTATAATCAATCCTTATCCCTATCTTCGTATAGTCATTGCATATTGGGTTTGCCCTTTATGTTTAAGAGAAAAATGAGCACAAGGGTGGAAGGTCCCAGAGAAGTTCATTAGAGTCCTGAACAGTTTCCATGTACTCATGCACACCATTAATTGCATAAAGTGAAGCTGATATTTGTCTTTCAACTTTCATCCTTTCAAATTCTGAAAGCTCCAACTCAGCTGCATAAGGCAATCCATCAGGGTTTGGTATATCCAATGCTTGAGCAAAAGGAAAACGATCTAAAACAGGTTCACAACCCCATGAAAGATTGGACTTAGAACCTGACTCAGACTCATTCCTGAAATTACTCAAATCTGGTCTATAAGCATCATCATCAAATAGTTGAGTATTTTGAGGAGTTGTTGTCCCACTAGAAAGTGATTTGTTGTCATTGTTGTCATTATTGCTTGAACTAGTACTACTAGTGCTGCTAACATTGTGTGTGGTAGTTCTTGTAGCAGATGCAACAACATCTTCTTCTTGTTTGGTACCTTTTCTGTTGTTAAGAAGATTTCGAATCCGAAAAGCAAGAGGAGAATCCAAAGATACATGAGTGGTGAAGTTGGTTCGAGTGTTGGATCCCCTTAGAAGACATGCAGCTTCATCATAAGCTCTTGCAGCTTCCTCTGCAGTTTCAAATGTGCCAAGCCACATTCTTATCTTTTGTGTTGTGTCTTTGATCTCAGCAACCCATCTCCCTGAAGGTCTTTGTCTTACCCCAACAAACTTGTTTGTGTTGTTACTATTGTTTGATCTCTTTCTCCCTTTGAATTTTCCTCCTTTTGATGATATGCTTGGCCTCAAATGCTGCTTTTGTTGCTGCTGGAATTTAATTTCCATTAGAAGTTGTTCAACAAAACGAGGGTGAGCCTCGAGTATTGTAAAGCTGCTCCTTTGTGACCGAAAGATCTGAAAGATCACGGATTCGAATCCAGCAAATAACTTCTTTGCCAATCTCCGAGAGTAAAGTTGTGCACCAGTTCTTCAACAAAAATGTTGCAGAAACTTTCTTTAGCTCTCAGAAAGATAGTGGAAGGCTTTGTTCCTCAATTTTGATGTTGTTGCTTACCAATTTGTGGGACTATATGTGTGTGTGTATATATATATGGATGAAAAATGTTGCCAAGCTTTTCAATAAGTAAGCAAGTGGGCTTAATATATAATACAAGCATATCTCTTGAAATTTTTTAGTTGTTAATTCTTGTTTAAAATATTTGAAAATTATGCATGATGTAGACAAGTTACCATTCATATTCAATTTCTTCCCTGAGTTTCTTCAGAATGACCGCTATAGCTGTCTCATTTGTTGGCATTGCATTACTGACAGAGTCAAGTTTCAAGTTTAGATGTAGGGATGAAAAAGAGAATCATAGGCTAAAAGAGTCAAGAATGGATTGAAATAATTATACATTGAGTAATTCAAATTTGTAACTTTTATTTGTATGTAATTACTTTTATTGTCCAGAGTATAATTTTCATAAGTCTAGTTTTTATTACTCAATTTGTGAGATATCTAACATAAAGCTATAAAAAATTTTAAAAAATAATATACTATTTCTTTTTAAAAAAAAGGAAATAGAGAAGGCAACCCTGCCAATTTAACTTAATTTTGGTTGTACTTTTAATACTTTTGTCAAAAACATTATGTTCCTAAAGGGCTACTCTCTTTTCTCCCTACGAATAAAGAACTACGGAAGGATTTCTTCACAAATTTTTGCAAATTACACTATGTACTCCCGAAAGTACATAATGTAACCTAATGTATTTTCGGAAGTACATAGTATAGTTTGTAGAAGTTTGTAAATAAAAAATTTATAAATATAACCCTCCCAAAGAACTACATTACAACTCTGCTTATCTTTTTATCCCTCTTCCCCGTAAAAAAATATGTGATGGTTTCACATAAAAAGTATAGGAATTAATTTTCTCATTTTATATTAGAACATTTTCTTAAGTTACACACACAATACATAAGTGGGGTTCACAAAAAGGTGAGAATACAAAAAAATCAAGATGAGACTCACTCATGTATTGTAAGTGTAGCATGAGAAAATTTTCTCATGTAAAATGAGAAAACTATTTCCCAAAAAGTATCTAAGACAATTTCTTATACCACCATTTTTTCCCCTTATTTTCTTTCTCTCTCTGTTTTGTTTTCATCCATGGTTTCAAATGACTCTGCATCATAGTATATGTGTTTGAAATTTCACTATAACCAACGTGTTTTCAGAATAAAATAAAAATAAAAAAATTATCCAAAAAAATAAAATAAAATACTAATTCTTCCTAACTTGTTGTATAGCTCAGATTTTAATTTGTTTCTTGCGGTTTATCATAAGATACAATATATTTGTAATTCTGTTATTATATACTAACTATTGTTTGACAACTATTAGATATTAAAACCCCCAACGCCTAAATAATCAAGTAGATTTGCATACATTTCTTAATTCTAAAATATTAAAAAAACTAAATTGATAGTAGTTAGTTGAGAAGCACTTAATGAAACACCACCAAAAAAAGTAAATTTTATCTCTTCCTTATTTTAAAAGTAATTTTTATAAAAGTTAAAGCTATTTATATTTTTATAAAAATGTTTAGTTTTTGAAAAAAAATATTTGGCTTTTGACTTCTCCTTTTATGAGAAGTTAAATTTTTTAACTTCTGAAAAAAGTAGGTTTTTGACTTTTTTTGTGACTTCTCATTTTTTTAAAAGCAGACATCCAAACAAACTAAAAACGAGAAGTGCTTTTTTTTCTTGAAAAAAAGCAGCTTTTGAAGAAAAAAAAAACTCATCCAAACGGGTCAATTATCTATACACGGTACATGTGTACAGATTTATATCTGCACATTTAGGGATCTGGTTTGGTGGCAATGCTCCTAAATTTTTTTTAAAGTAAGTTTTAAATATATTAAAAAACAAAAGAATATAAACAAAAAAAACTTGAATTTACTACAAAAATAAAGTACTTTTTGGGTCCTCAACAAAAATCATAGTATCCAATTTAATCCCTTAGAAAAAAATACTCGTGATCCCTCTGAATTTTAAAATAGACCCATGTTAGTCTTTTTGAGGGACTAATGTAGATCTTCTTTAAATTTCAGAGGAACCACAATTTCGACTAACCGGGTCTATTTTGGAATTCAGAGGAATCGAGAGTCGACTTTTTTTTTCTAAGAGATTAAATTGGACCATGTAATTTTAATTTTTGTTGAGTACTCAAAATATATTTTTTTTCCCAAAAAATTTGTGTGTGCACTTGTACACACTTATATCAAAAATTTGTCGGCCACTGCATGTGTACAATATTGTTATTTTAAATTTTGGAAAAATGATGAAAGAAAAACCAATAACTATTTATTTGTTTTTTTAAAATTTTTAAATCAATAATAACTTATTTAAGTAATAAGGAACTTTTTATTCTTAGTTATAAGAATTTTAGGAATGAAAAAATGTTTTTCTTAAAGCCGTTTTTTATATATGGGTTTGACAATGCTGAAACCAATTAACTGGTTGAATTTTATAAAATAATTGAAAAAAAATTGACACAAAAAAAAAAAAAAAATCTAGGCCATTTGATGGAGAAAAAAACCCTATATCTATAAAAGGTCATTAAAAAAAATACATTTGTTGTCTATGTCAAATTTGAAAATGATCCCGAAGCCACGCTTAAGAAGATGGAATTACAAAACCACCTAGACAGAAGAGGAAAAAATACTTGTACCAAAAAAATAAAAAAGGAAACAATAAAATAAGAAGCTAGTCTTTGTCCCCTCTTCCCATCTTCTTTTTTGCCTAGGTCAAGCAGTTGAAAATATGGTGTTGATTGCATGAATGGCCTCCACATGGAGGCTGCAAATGATCTTTGGAAGATACTTCCATAAACTAGGACGTAAAATACCATGCTTGGCAGGACCAAGTCATAGGTCACCTCACCTACATGAATATATATATATATATATATAGGGGAGGGTTCTTTTGACTCCAGAGTAAGATTTAAAAGTCTTACTCCTCATCGCAGCCGTTGATTTACGTTTATCTAATGATTATCATTTAATAAATTATAACAATTAATTATATGCGTCAGATGAACGGAAATCAACGGCTGCGATGAAGAATAAGATTTTTAAGTCTTACTCTTGAGTCAAATGATTCATCCCCATATATATATATATATAGAGAGAGATGTGTGTCATTTTAAAGAAGTAAAGTTGTGTCATTTTAAGAGAGAGAAAGAGATAGATAAAGAGAGTTGGTAAAAAAAAAAAAGTTGTGGGTCTCACCTCTTTCTGAGAGTAAAATGACACAAGTTGAGTCATTTAAAAAGATAAATACTTGTTTCCATATGTATATTGGTTATGGACCTACATACGAATTGGATCTAGTTCACTCTCTTAGGAGGTAAGAAACCCTTTATAAAAAAAAAGGTTCACTCTTTGGTAAGAAATCCTTTATAAAATGAGAGGTTCAACCTCACATGTAAGCTCTCTGAAACCCTAGCCTTCTTATCGTTATTGTACACACCATCCCCAGAGTAGTGGTGGATCTAGGGGAGAGACGAAAGTCGACGGTTTCAAATTCCTAAATTTTAATATTTATTATTATTATTAGAAAAATATTTTTGCAATTAATGAAGATAAGTTATCTACATTTACTTCCAAAAAAATGTCATTTTGAGATTGAAATATTAGAAAATTATAATTATAAAGACTATAATTGCCTTGAAATAAATTAAAATTATAAAAACACCATAATTTTCGTTCCAAAACGATATCGTATTGAGCTTACTGCAGATAACTTATATTCAATAACTCCAAAAAAACACTTGAAATAATTGAACCCTTATATTTATTAGTCTCGATAATACTTGTATCTTTAATCTTTAATCTTTAATTTTTGCCCCTTATTATAAAATTTTTTGGGTTCGCCCTACCCCAAAGCTTTCTCATATGTAGTGCACAGCATTCTGCCACCATCAGCAGTTGTCTTCCCCACAGACACAACTAGCTCTCAAATCCAACAGCTACATTTGTTCCTTAGAGATCAAGCAATATTAAATGTTTATTAGAAAAAATAAATATATATTAGATATTTATGCATATACGATGACGTGCGGGCTGCGTTTGTTGTACGTTATATAACCCCCTTCCTCACGTCACCGACAACACCCTTGTTCTTGATCTTTTTTTTTTTTTTTTTTTGATAACAATTGTTCTTAATCTTTTATATTAATACATTCTTTTCCATCTTCAACAAATCCAATATGTTTATTATTCACAAGGCATTGTCGTTGTCTTCTTTGTTACTTGATTGACAAAGCTAATAAACAAACCTTAAAAATATTTCAATTTGAGTTAATCATCAAAGTTCATGCTTTTATTTTCTCTTTTTATATTACGGTTTATTTTTTTAATGATGAATTGAAATTTGATAAGTAAATATTGCGTGCCTCTTAAGTGTTTGCAATGAATCCCATGCATGCTAGGCGCGAATGAAGATATAGGGAAAAGAACACAAGCATTACTATATTAAACATGGTGGTTTTCTTACTTCTTGGTGATGTTATCTTGGAAAATCTATGATAAATTTAAAATTATGAATATAGAGAGAGTCGTAATAATCATGCCATTATTTATATGCTATGACCAATATAATAATTAGTTAATCATGTTGACAATAATTGCAGGATTATTTAGCGTAGTTTGAAATTTGAAGGTTGAAATTATCAAGCAAACGTTGAAGGAAGTTAGCTTCACCACCATTTGAATAATAATACTAGCGTTTTGATGGTAATAACTTAAGTGACCCTGAATTTGCATTTTTATTTTTTATTTTTTTTGGTAAACTGCATTTTTAAATTTTAATTAAGAATCCCGCGTATATATTGTGACTGCAAAGTTTAAAATAATAATAATAATAAGGGATAGGTTATTATGCCTACTCCTATTTTACCTACTTTTGCCTACCCCTTTCGTTACCGTTCGATTACCATCTCATCCAACGATCCATATTTGTGATATAAAATAAACCTTTTTTTTTTCCTTTCTTTCTTCTCACTTTCTCCCATACATTTTCTCTCTCTCCTCCCCTTTCTCTCTTCCTCTGCCATATACCAATTTTTTCCCTTTATCGTTAATCTCTGCCCAGGTGAACGGCGCAGAAGCATTTGAAATCAATTACCACAGCATTTGAAATCATCGTCAATATACATTAGTCTCTGTTTTTATTATTGTAATATAAATTTTCTCCTTCTGAATCAGTTTCTATCAAATTACCAGTGTCAATGGATTGAAAAATCACAACAAGTTTTTAGATCTGAAGAACAACATAAATTTTATAAATTAATAAGATTAAATCGATGACTAACAAAGAAGTTTTAATGTGATTCAAAAGATCTGTGCAGAGTTGGAAAAGATTCAAAATAAATAAAAAAATTAAAGAATAAAAAAAATTGATATTGGAAAAATCTGGAAAAAGGGTTAATTGGTGCCATTCCAACAATTATGTTGATACGGATAGCCAATTAATTATTAGAAATTAAGAGTATCTATCATGTGGAAGAACAGATCGACATATTGAAGCAGAGACAAGGAGGATTCTGTGAACATATCGACCTTGTGGCACCACCGCTTTGAATCACATCAAAACTTTTTTGTTAGTCATCGATTCAATCGTATTAATTTATAAGGATTAAAAATATCATTAGAATCGAACAGTTTGTCAGGAGATTGAGGTCCACGACGGCAGAAGGGAAAAAAATTAGGTATATGGCAGAGGAAGAGAGAAAGGGGAGGAGAGAGAAAATGTATGGAAGAAAGTGAGAAGAAAAAAAAGGGAAAAAAAGGTTTATTTTATATCACAAATATGGATCGTTGGATGAGATGGTAATCGAACGGTAACGAAAGGGGTAGGCAAAAGTAGGTAAAATAGGAGTAGGCACAATAACCTATCCCTAATAATAATAATATAACAGTATGATATCAGCCTTTTTTAAAAACCTTGTTCAGCTTACCCAAAAAAAAAAAAAAAACCTTGTTCAAAGCCTACTTAGTTGAATATTTAAATATGTTTTTTTGTAAAAGTCTAAAAGCTTGAGTGATATACTAAATAGTAAAGTCGAAGTAAGTAGGATACCAAGAAAAGTCGAAGTAAGTAAAAAATAGAATAGATTTTTGTAAGCTCTACTTAATTGGTCCCCCTGACTTTGTTTAACCTCTATGCATGCTTACAATTGCAAAATAAGAAGTTTTTGCAATTTTATAATTTTTTATATTTCTTTTTTCATATTTAAGTTTAATTAATTAGGTTGGGAAAGTGCACAGCTTTTAGAGCTGAACTTTAGGATATTTTACATGGATTGAAGGAGGTATGGAATGCAGGTTACATAGAAGTTATTGTTGAAAGTGATTTCTTACTGGCAATTATTGGGCTCACCAAAGGAGGTGCTGCAATTCGTGAGATGCGTTTGTTATCTCGTATACGAATATGGATTGACAGAGATTGGGAGGTTCATCTTTATCATACATACAGAGAAGGAAACATGTATGCAAATTGGATGACTAATTATCTGCTAGATCACACAGATCAAGTTGACCAGCTATTTTTTGAGAAACTGCTCGAAGGAATTCATCTTTTGTACCTGACTGATCTTGCATCAGTTGGGAGAGCTCGTCTTATTCATAGTCCTAGTTAGTTTTCAGTTTCAGTGTTAGTTTCATTTTTTTTGGGCTTTAAGCCTTTTGTCTAAAAAAAATAAAATAAGTAGTAATGATCTTTTGGGAAAAATAAATTATGATCAAATAAGGGGATCTCCTGTATAATAGTGCTAGCATTTTGATGGGCACTTAGTAGGGCCTAATAAACTTCCACAAATACTATGGATATAAATCAAGAACTACTAGAAAAATGTTTATACAACTATAAAAAAATGTTATTGTCCAATAGATTTGTGTAATTTTGTAATTCAGAGCTGATATGCAAATTAACGTGAAAAAATAAAAACAACAACAATCATAGTGCCTTATGTTTGGTTCGGCTTTGCTTTTCAAGTATTTGACTCAAGGTAAATATTTGTGATATGAACCTCACCAAGAATAGTGAGATCCAAGATCAAATTAGTTAGAATCATTTCTATAATTAGGAATTTAAAACAAGAAATAAAGAATCTTGACCCATTATCTATGGAAGATAAGAACCAAATGTATAAGAAAGATAAAAACACCACACTCAAGAAAGAAGAAGATGAGTGATAAGTCTAGTTTGAACGCCACAAGAACAAACTTCTTGATAAGTTCTGAGTTCTAGATAAGAACCAAAGAGAATAAATTTCTATATTATATTATAACTTCAAAATCTGATTACAAGAGTCGTATCCTCCTTTATTCATACTTGGAACATCCCTCCAAGAATAGAAAAAGACTAACAAATGAAAAACACTAATTTAAAGTTAACAACTTGAAAAAAAGAAAAGACTCTAATCAGCCCACTAAATATTAATTGACATTGTAAATGTGAAACAACCCCACTAAGTATTAATTGACATTGAAAATTGCTACTCATTCCACTCAACCTCCCTTGCATTAATAGTATTAACTAAATTCTGATTATGAATAAATTTGGACTTGATGTCTTCATGATTAGCCCACATTTGCTAGATCAACCGACTAAGAGCGTCTTTAAACTTCTTGGCCCTTGATCTTGTGATTGGCCCATTCGGTAATTGCAATGGATCACTAGATGTTGTCTCCTTATTCATATCAATTTGGGTACTCTGAATATGGAACATATTGATATTGATATCAACAAAAGATAGAAATAAATTCACTATCTGTTTTATGTCAAGCAATACGTGGAGTAACTCCCGATATAGAAGTAAAAGCAAGATGCGTAGCCGGACCGACTCATCAAGTTCCCGTTGAAATAGGATCCACACGAGGAAAAGCACTTGCCATTCTCATATTTGAAGAGGAGATGGTTTAAAATTTAAGTGTGAAAAAGTCTCAAGTTGAATAAGAATAAATTTAGTAAATTCATATAAGTTAAATGATTCATATATTTATTACGGGAAAAATGTATCATTTTAAAAAATGTAAAGTTGTATCATTTTAAGTGAGAGAAAGAGATAGATAGAAGAAAGAGTTGACAAAAAAATATAAAGGTGTGGGTCCCATCTCGTGAGAGTAAAATGACATAAATTATGCCATTTAAAAGGATAAACACTTTTTCCATTTATTATCCTAATTCTTGAGGTTTTGGGTTAAAATTTGACTTTCAATTTGAAGTGTGAGGCAAACTTGACACATCACAACCTTTTAATAAAAATGCAAAGGTAAAATAGTATATAATCGACACTCAAGTTTATCTTCGCAAGTTGAGGAGCTTAGGATTATTAGAATTAGAGTATTTTGTCATTCATTTACCCAAAACCCACCAAATACAAATGAAGATCATGAACTTGAAAATCAATAACTTATCAAACATATTTTTTCTTTTATTCTAAAAAACAATTACTACTGTACCAAAAAAAAAATTACTAAAAATTACAAAACAGATTTATTTTTATTTTTATTTTTTTTTTAAAAAAAAAACACTCAATCAAAGAGACTCTATAACTTTAGTAGTAAATTCTTCTGGGTTTACAAATTGGCATATGAAAAAATTTGACTTAACTATATATATTCGTTCTCTTTTTCTTTTCTTTTTTCAATTTAAAAATTCATTATCTAACATGTTTTTTTTCAAAAAATAGTCATAAATTATTATGTTAACACTATTTTTTTAAAGCTAATTTTGTTGGCATAGCTAGCGAATTAATACTACTTAACTCTTATATGACATCAATAATGTTTTGTAAAACATAACCATGCTGAAAGTATCATCTTTAGAAGGATTTAAAATCTTAATTCCGAGACCCACTCCGAATCAGATTAATCATAAAGTGATAAACCAATTGTAATATTTTAAAAAAAAACCCCGCTGGCCAAGTTTGTTGGCAGGAAGACGAAATTAAATTTTGTAAAAACATGGTAAAAATTCAATAACTTAAAAAGTAATTACAGTGAAACAAATTTAAAAACTAAAAAGAAATATTAGAAAATAAAAATATACTTATTTTCCCTTTATCTTTCCACAGTCTAAATTATCTGTTCAATAACTTCTATGAACTAAAAGAAAACTAGTAGCAACTGCCAACGCTAGTATATGAATGGCGGAGATTAAAAACAACCAAACCCTAAGGATCATTGACATAGTATCGTCTTGCAGCTTCATAGATTTTTGTAGCTAAAAAGAAAAAAGAAAAATGTTCACCAATAAACAATTAATATTTTTTTCTTTTACGTAAAAATAGTATACAAATCAATTGAATATTTTATAAGCTGGTCCAATGTATCTCTCAAGTGCAGGAATGAATGTTCAAAACATGTGAAAACAAAAGAATGGATCGGGAAAAAAAAAATTATATATACGTAATTATGCATTACCAATTAATTAGTAACTAAGCACCATTTTTGTTAACCCATGGTTTGATCACACCAACAACGACGATAATAACAACGATGAGAAGTATAATTATTGCAATGCACATCCATTTTCTAGAGTTCCTTTGTAGTTTCTTGGCATTCTGGAGTGCATTATTGCCTTGCTGCACATGATCAACTGCACTTGAAACCTGATGCATGAGGAGTAGAAACCAACTTTGATCACAAATGTAACTCTCAACAGTTTTATCAAAGAGACTAGCTAATAGTAATAATAGCTAGAATTTATGTTTCCCAATTCAATGATGGCCTTGTATGTAAAATGATCAAAATACCTGTGATTCTATGTTGTCAAGCATGTCTCCCTGTGCATCGACTAACACTGCAATATCCATAAATATCTGCCAAGACATGAATGTTATTATGGTTCAAACTCGATATATAACTGCGAACCCAATTCCAACTAGTTCGGAATAAAGATGATGTTAGATGTTGATATTAATTCCTAATTTCATGTTGATGTTGTTTCATATAATCAGAATATTAATTGTAATAATTTGTTGAGCTACATCAAACATATGTCATAGTCAAATTAATTGAACAGATTGATTAAATACCTGTTGTAAATCAAGAAGCTTCCTCTCAACATCTCTAACTGCCTCATGTCGCTCTTGAATTTCTGCCAAGGTGTCCATTATCTACACGGATAGCTCAAATGTAAGATTTCTAAATATTCATGTCATTTGCCTATTGTCCAAGGAACATCAACAATGTTCCTCACCCCTCCCAGCCCCATAAACCAAAATTATGGGAAATTTTTCGAAAATGTAGGATGATGGAAGGTTTAGATGAGTGGATGATATTCAAGTCAAAATTTGTTCCAGGATAAGTTCCCAGATTATACCAAACTCCTTTGGCACAGGTGGCACAGGTGGCACAGGTGGTAAGGAGCCTGGGCCCCTTAACCAGAGGTCTCGAGTTCGAGTCCTAGAAATGAAAAAAAAAGATTTGGGAGAGCCGCTCCCGAAAGGGTTCGACAGTGCTCGATGGGGATTAGTCTTCGGTTACGGCTGGATGATACCCTTGAGACTACTCTAAAAAAAAAAAAAAAAAAGTTCCCAGATTATAACCGGGTTAAGAGGCCAACAAGACTGGAGGCCCAAAGACTACTGCAGAACAGCCTTTGATGGCAAAGCCAAGTCCTCCAGCCCAGGTCATGGGTTTGTCACCCATGACTCCTTCGACACCATTACCCCACCCACGATCACCACCTGCGGGTTTTTCTCTCTGGGTCGCTCTACTCTCCCTCAACTGTTACCAAGCCCCTACAAAAGGCTGGAACAGTGTCAGAGGTATACAGTTTTGCACATTGAGCATTCCTTGATCTCAACTACCCAGAGTATTCACTCAATCCTAGGTGTTCACACACACACACCCCTAATTTTCACCATCGGACCAAAGGCTAGAGGTATTGAGCCTCCCTTGTCAGTTATCTCTTTCCCATTGTTCCGTGGATTGAAATATTAGCTCCATTCCTAGACACTTCTTCTTCAACACTCTGGACAATATTCAATAAAAAAAAAAGTTGAATAGGAAACTATCAAGGGAGTAAGAGGGAGGGATGAACCTGGCCTCGTCCTTGTTGCTGAATTGCCTTCTGGAAAATTTGTTCACTATCTCCAGTCTCAATTAATCTGTCAATTGTCTGTACATTGTTAAATGATTAGAAGAAAAACTTCTAAAAGACATATTTCCCTATATTAATGAAAATTCAGGGGGAAAAAAAAAAATACCTCCTCATCAACTCTTGTGCCCGTTACTAACAATCAAGAAAACCAGTGAATACAAAAGAGTTAACATCAAATCAAGAAAATCAATGGACCAAGTTTCATAAAATTGAAAACAACCACTAATAAGTAGACTCAAACCTGTAAAGACACGTCTCTCAACAACCTCGCGATATTCTTGATGGATGGCTTCTCTCAGGGTCTGCAAATATTTTGAAAAAGGGATTAAGTTGAAGAACAGAAGATTAAAGACAAATTCTCAAACAAACAAATATGAGCCAAATCTACCTGAAATTCAGCCATCTTGTCCTTCAGTTTCTTTTTTAAGGAACTGCAGAATAATATGATAGAAAAATCAGGTACAGATGAGATTGGTTCAATAAAACATTAAGCCAAAAATAATAATAATAATAATTCAGAACCACAACAGTATAATCCTTGTTTGAGGGAAATCCTCAGGTTTAATCATTGTGATGCAGATAAGTACATTTCAGTTTCGAATTTTCTCTTTTAGGGCATGTGGGTTTAAGAGATGCAGGGTTTTGTCCCCATTCATTTTGGTTCTCAAATTTATCATACCATCAGTTTGGTCTCAAGGACATAATTTCGGATAACAACATCTTGGTATAAGTTGAAAGCCATGGACTGCTCATTGACATGGAAAAATAATAATATAGTCACTAATTATAGCCTATAGGTAAAATAAGTTAGGCCCTGAGCTCAGTACCTCATATGAACAAAATTTTATTTTAAAACTATTTATGGATTAGAAGCTCTGGTATGAAAGTCTCCTATTACAAACTAGGGTCATAATATTAAGAAGTTACGTTAAAATTCTGCATTTGGATTGAGATGATAGCATCTTCCTTTACTCTTATTCTTTTTAAACATTCTTTAGTTTCCAGATAAATATGACTATATTTATAAAGATAAATTCATATTGTTAGTTGAACATCATGCAAGATGCTAACGACAAGAGAATGTTTTAAACTCCAAAAGAGCCAGAAATTTAGCTGCCCCGGATGTGGAATATTTAATTCCAAGACTCTCTAGTGGACTTGTGTTGAATTTTGTCCAGTAAAATTTTCAGTATCGAAAAGGTTATATTAATGCAGTGAGAGAGCTTGAGCAATGAAAAGTTAAAAAATTGTGAAAGAAGAACTAAATAACTAAACTACAGATACAATGAGAACCTCAAATCCATAGAGCTTGTCTAAAATACGAGATAATAATAATGAGAAATAAAAAGTTGAATCATTACTGACATGGTTGTTGCTGTTCTTGACCGGTCAACACCTGATCCTTTTCCACACCCAGGCTTCTGCCTATTTGCCAAATTCTACGAAACAGAATGGAGTAAGGGAGGAGACCAGGGAGATCACACTAAGAATCTAGGTATTGAATAAAACACTGAAAGACATTCAGTAGAGATCTTACCTCTTTATCCAGTTCTTCAATTTTGGTCTTTATGTAATGCGCAGTTTTCTTAACTTCATCAACATCTTTCTCCATTCTCTGCTTTATAGCTGCAGACAATTGTAGGATCAAGCAAAACTAATTACTTTAATTCTCTTGAACTTCATTTATAGCCCCAGAACACCTATCTTCAAATGTGTCTTTTTATCAGAAGTGCAATTTAACATCTAGAACCAGTCCTACCTAAGCAAATTCTTCTTCTTATCAAAATCATAAGTATAAACTATAAATAATATTAATACTTACAGCTTACAGGCAAACCATTCATTTCTCTTTTACATGTATAATTTGATTTATAATTATAATGCAAAATCTCAGTAACGCCTACAATAAATATTCTTCTAAGGGTTGAGTGAGTCACAAAAGGAGTACCAATTTCCATATTTGTATGATTCTCACTATAAAATTTAAAAAAAAAAATTATATGAAAGGAGGGATGCATGACTCAATGATTTTTCTTTTATTATTTTATGTTGATTATAAAAAAGAAGCAATGAAACATGCTAAAGATTGCTTTAAAAAAGATAAAACACGATCATACTAACCCTTCATGGCAGGAGCCTTGGTCACAGATTTGGACTCTCCATGGGCATCCTGCAGACAAGATTCGCATAAAAATGGGGAGGACCAATTTCAAGTAATTTTTAGTTCATAACATAAACCAACAAGGAAGCACAATGCCTTTTGATAATTTGACCAAACATTATATTTACTTATTGCTTAACTCTTACCAAATTCCAAAACAAAAGCAAAAACAGTTCTTTGTTTATTCCTTTTTCCGATTTCTCAATTCACCTGATATGGAAGCTGACTCAAATGTAGAGACATTGCAAGACTTAATTCAATTGCAGTAGAAAAAGTCTTATACAACTACAAACTACCAAATGATAGGCAGCATTAGTCATTCTAGTTTTGTCTCTGTTTTTGTCCTTCATCAAATGGTTATCCCAATCCTTTCATCTCTCTCTCTCTTTCTCCATTTTGTTCCTCACTCTAGACTTGCAAATTTATGGAAATGATTTGTATGCTAATTGATGAAAAGATTTGCATATGGTTTTCATTGGCCTAGAAAATGCCTAGGATAGGGTGCCAAGAAAAATCTTGTGGAAAGTGCTAGAGAAGAAATGAGTTCAAATTGCTTAGGCCAACAAGAATATGTAAGATGGGGTCATAAAGGATTTTCGTATAACTACGAGTTACATCAAGTGTCAACTTTGAGCTCTTATCTTTGTACCTTGGTTTTGGATGTAGTTACTAACCATGTCCAAGAGATGGTGCCTCAATGCATGCTTTTTGCATATGATATAGTCCTCCTGGGAGAATCAAGAGGGTATAAATGGTAAACAAGAGTTGTGGCGAGAAGCTTTGGAATCACATGGTTTTAGTTTAAATAGAAGAAAGACACAGTATATGGGATGTAGTTCAGCAGGATGCACAAACAATGGCTTGGAGGAGAAAATCATAGATCATATCAAACCATAAGTTGCACAATTCAGGTATCTTGGATCTATCATACAAAGTAATAGAGAGATAAGGGGAGATGTAAAATATAGGATCCAAACTGGTTGGTTCAAATGGAGAATGCTTCAAGTGTTATTGGCAACTGAAAGTTGCAACTCAAGCTTAAACGAAAATTTCACCGGACAACCATAAGACCAGCAATGCTTTAAGGGACCAAGTTTGGGCTATAAAGTGTCGACATGAGCATATGCTAGATGTTATAGATATGAGAATGTTGCATGGATGAGTAAACAAATAAGAATAAATAAGATCAGAAATGAATTTATCATAAAGAAAATAAGAGTAGGAGTATTGATATGCGCCTGGCATATAAGGAAATCTGAGCCAAAAAGAGAAAGAATGTTGATGAAATCTTGAGAAAAAGAGCAAGAATCACTGTTAATTTGTCAAAATCTTAATCAAGGATTGAATACTGATTTTATGCTAATTTTGTAGGAAAAAGCAAACAAACTGGAGCAAAACGAGGATTTTGCAAAATCAAAATCCACGCTCAAAGCGTGGATCTCACGCTGGCAGCGTGGAAGGAATTTTTCAGACAGAAGCATTCACGCTTGAAGCGTGAATTTGACGCTGAGAGCGTCAGTTTGCGAATTCTCAGACCCCGTGTTTTGCAACGGGGCAATTTTGAAAAAGAAAAAGATTTAAAAATCAAGTTTTTGATTCAGCAATGAGATCTCTATCCAAATTAGAGATAAGATTAGATGATTTGTGGTAAGATTGAATCAAGATTTGAAATTCTAATTTATCAATCAAATCTCCAAGGTTGTTACATGAAAAAAAGGAAACAAAGTTTAAATCAAATACAAACTCTTGGATGGGCTCAATGCCGGTGGTTATAAATAAGGAGATTGGGAGCACAACAAGGGAACCAATTTCAAAACTCGGAGCAAGCAGTAGAGGACTGAAGATCAAGAATTCTTCTCCATTCTTTCTAGTAATTATAGTTTTTATGCTTTCTTTTGAATATTTGTTTATGTCGGATATGACTATGTCTGGCTAAGTTCTTTTATTGTAGTTAGGGAACACTCTCTCAGAATAGTATACATCATCACTCAGAAGAAGGCTGAGATCCACCTTGCTCACAGTTCTTTGATACAGAAGCTCTGTCAAGCGGCTGGAGTGGAGATTCCTGATGATGAGCCTCATGATGTGCAGGTTAAAACAGACCTCACACAGACAAATTTTGCTACTATGAGCGCAGAATCTAGTCGGAATGCTCTTTGGAAGGCAGCCCGTGCAGCAGGTGGAGCACCTCCAGCATCACCACCTGCACCTGAGCATGATGCAGAGCCCGTAGCTGCACCTCCTGCAGATTCCCTTATGGTTCAGATACAAGAGATGAGGATCGAGCAGAGGTACCTGAGGGAGATGATGGAGAGGCTATGCAGTGATCGCGGGATTGACACTGCGAGTTTTAGACCACAGTTTCAACCACCTCCATCTCCAGCAGAGGCAGCATCACAGGCCGTTCCGGATGATGTTGTTGCTGATGATGAGGATGATGATGCTGCTATGGAGGACTGCTGATGATTATGCACTTCATTACTTTCCGACTAGTATAGTTGTTGCTGAGGACAGCAACATTCTAATCTGGGAATTGTCGCATGGCATGTTGTATGCGAGACCTGTTAAGAACTACACCACGGAAAGAACGGTCTAAACAAAAAATTTTCTAAAAAGGGGAGATATTTTAACCTTCAATTTTTATTTTTATTTTATTTGCTGTTTTGAGTTAGATTCAATCTTTATTTTCAGAAAAAAAAATCAAGTTTTTCAACTTAAAGTGACTGATTATTTTAGTACTTGGTTTTCAATCCCTGAGGAGACGATCTTTCTTACTACTTTACTACTTATGCGAAACGGTATACTTGCCGGATAGCATCAAGTTTTTGGCGCCGTTGCCGGGGATTGAAAATTTCAATATTATAAATCATCTTTGATCTTTGAGATTGAATTTTATTTTATTTTATTATTCTTGTTTGCATTTTACAGGTGCTATTAACAAATTTTTCTGAGTTTTATGCGAGGTAGACTTCCATCTAAAGACTTTTTGCTTGATCCTGAAATTTCAAGGACTGAGAGGAGACTGAGGAAGGCGGCTAGGCAGATAATTTGGGAAGATTTGAAAAGCGTACCTGCACAACCAAAACAAGAGATGGAAGGAGACAACAACGATGATGGTGGCATAGGCCACAATCCACCCCCAAGATTGTTGGAAAGTATTCTGACACCAGTGTTCAATAGGCCAAACTCAAGCATAGTCAGGCCGACGGTGGAAGCAAACAATTTTGAGTTGAAACCATCATTGATTTCTTTGGTGGCAAGAGCTCAATATTCTGGTGCTGACGAGGAAGACCCTCATGAGTTCATAGATCGATTTCTGATGATCTGTGACACTACGAAGCACAATGGTGTGCCAGCTGATGCTATCAGGCTCCGACTATTTCCTTTTGCTGTTAAGGGAAGTGCTCTCAAATGGATAGAAAGGCAACCAGCAAATAGTATCTCAACATGGGAAGATTTGTCAAACAAATTCTTTGCCCATTTCTTTTCTATGGAGAAATATAATCAGCTGGTGAATGCAATCACGAATTTCCGTCAATTTGAAGGAGAATCATTGTGTGCAACTTGGAATAGATTCCAAGAACTTATCCGGAAGTGTCCACAATGGGAAGGAGACAATGACAGAAAGGTAGCAATTTTCTTTAATGGCATTTCTCCTGAAACAAGGTTGGTGATTAATGGTGCAGCTGGAGGTTCTATTCGGCAGAGTACCTCAGAGCAAGCCCTCAATCTGATAAAGAAGTTGGCAAGAGATGAAAATGAGAGTGTTCCCTAACTGCAATTCTTTCTCATATTTTCAAAACCAACTCCATTATTATTCTTCTTTTCATTCTTGAAAATACAAAAACTCAAAAATAAGTCTTTACTTTTATGGTTACTAATATTCAATTTAATTTTCCCAACAAAAGATCAAGTTTTTCAACTTAAAGTGACTGATTATTTTAGTACTTGGTTTTCAATCCCTGAGGAGACGATCTTTCTTACTACTTTACTACTTATGCGAAACGGTATACTTGCCGGATAGCATCAAGTATCACCTGTTGATGAAAAAGATTGTAAAATTGCGGCCAAGATAGTTTGGTGAGAGAATAAGACTAAGAGAAGCTAGTAGGAAGATTTGATTAGGAGGATAACCAAACAATTCCAGGTAGAGGAAGACCAAGAAAAACTAAGTGAAACCATTGAAAAGGACTTAGATTTAAATAGCCTCTTCGTTGACCTGATTTTTTACATAACATAATGGCATTGTTTTACTAAGAGGTTCTTCTGCTGTTACATTGGCCATAGGAAAATAACCTTGTTCTTTGTGAAACCACATGCCCTTAAAAAAATATCATACCTCAATTGCCCACTTCTTTATTTATCATAGTTCTGTGACATTACTATTATAGGTATATTAAAGATCTTAAGAGTCAATAAATTAATTGATTCAGTATCGCATCTCCAAATGTATATTACTTTCACATGATCAAAACTTGCTCTTAAAGTGTTCCAGGAGCCAAGAATTAGTATTCAAGTGTGTGAAAGAAAGGTTACCTGGAGCTTTCTCAAAAGGTTATCCAGCTTAGCATAATGTTTATCAAGCTCCTGAACCTATTAAAAATATGCGATAGTAACATTCAATGAGATGGGCCAAATAATTAAACATGAATGTCAAAACCATCCAGTAATTGTACAAAACGAATTAAGGAAAAGAAAGAAATAATGAAAGACAAGTTGCTTGATGTTTTTTACAGAGATATAAAGATAAACACCTTTTTGAAGAAAATATCCAAGCCCAGTTCTCCTGAATTCATTGCATATTGTCCCAACTCGACATCACCTACGTGACCTTGGCCACGTGGGATCTCAAACGATTCCTGAAAAAAGATCATGAAATTAATATATATGGCCCGCTCTTAATGATGATTTTGCTATATGCACATCCAATACAAACTATCAACAACTGTTACAGCTCTTATACCAACCCATTTATTGAGAAAATAGCACAGTAGTACACATAACACTCAAGCACACACCGATATTTAGATGTATGAAAACTTCAGAGCATGACGAACAGAACAAATATTCTATTTCAAAAATATTGATATGATCTCACTACAAGACATTTTAAATATTATTACGGTCTATATGGTAATATGCAATTCTAAGACCTAAAACAGGGGATTGATATTGTGCCTTGAATCTTCCTTAGTGCACGTGTTCTGTTTTTGTCCCCCAATACCAGTCAAAGGAAGTATTGAGTTCACAGCCAAATCAATTGTACAAATCAGAGTTATAGATCTTATTGCATAATTTTCATTTAATACAAACATATTGGAAATAAAAAATTGAAAATACATTTTTCCATAAACATCCCAGGAACTTTGTAAATAGCAAAAAAAGTCTTTTCTACGTATTTGCTTCCCCTAGCTTCAACATGAAACATTGCTGCATTGGCATGCCTACTTGACATTTAACAATTGAATATATCTACAAAACTGCAAAAACAGACTTTAAACACATCCACAACCTCATTTATGCATAGAACACAGATATTAATGTATACACAAAATAGTTGTGTCACAAACAGAATACTATTCCTAAGCAGGGCCAGTGGAGGTCTAAGAGTGTGCAGAATCAATGGCCCTCCACAGGTGTCTTTTTATGCCAATAGCATTAATCTTACACATGCAGCCCCGATATCAGGCAAATGTATCTCTTCAAAAGATATGCAATCAAAAAAGAAATCTTTTCTCTTTAACCTTCTTTTACTTGTTCTAAATGGATGCTTTTTCGTTGTCAGCTGGCCACAATAAAAAAACTAGTTGAAGATCATCATATAGAAATTTTCCAATTCTGTTTCACCAGCTAAACCAGAAAAACACGCGCCCAAAAATGATTACTCCCAAGTCCCAGCAAATAAATATATTATACCGATTAAAGAATAAAGAGTAAATACCCTTTTTATCCCTAACAAAAAACACGATCCCTACTTTAGTCCCTTACGAAAATAAATTAGCGAGTTAGTCCCTAACAAATTCAAAGTGGACCCATTTAGTTGAAATCGTGGTCCCTCACAAATTCAAAAAAGACCCATATTAGTCCCTCAAAAGTACTAAAATGGGTCCACCTTGAATTTGTTAGGAACTAATTTAATTTTGTAAGGAACTAAAGTGGGGACCGTGTTTTTTGTTAGGGATCAAAAAGGGTATTTACTCAAGAATAAATAAGCATCCACTCCCCCAATTTCCCTGACAAGACAATATATTAGCAAATATGCAATTTCAGACAAACGGAAATTTGAAACTGTCATTAAAAGATGGATCTGTCAATCATAGAAAACAAGCATATTTAACAAATCAAAACTAAAGCATATCTAGATCTTACGGAAAAAGAAAAACAGAGTTGAACCTTCTACCCATCATGAGAATTGGTTATCAAATCTCCCAAATGTGTATTATAGAAACTTTGCAGTAAAGCATAAATAAAAAATGAGTTCAAATTTGGAGAAGGATCAACTTATACCGATTTAAGAATAAAATATCTTACACCCAATTTTAGTCATTGATCCGTTTGCATTTAACACATATCTAAAAATTAGAGCTATTACATATAAATAAGATTGACAACCATGGTTGAGAGTGTAATTTACATCGATGTAGGATAATCCTACCCCTCACATATGTAATAAATTAGAGTCGTTAGTTTATAAATAAGATTGACAGCTAAGGTTGAGAGCGTAATTTATACCGATGTAAGATAATCATACCCTTATATATATAAGTCTTACACCAAATCTTAACCATTGATTTTCTTCATCTAACGGTTAAGATTTATTAGATCTCACTCATTAATTAATTTTTAATTCTCAATAAATCTCAATCGTTGGATGCACGGAAATCAACGGTTAAGATTTGGTGTAAGATTTATTATTCTTACACCGGTGTAAGTTGATCCTATCCCATATATATATATATATATATATATATAAGGTTAAACATTTTTACAGCCACTTTAGATAAGGTTGTCTACAGCTACCTTTTTAATTAAGTTTGAACAGTAAGACAAAAATTGCATTTTCTCTCTCCGCCACGTCAGCCGACAATGTCTGAGGAGAGAAAAAAAAAAACAACTTTATTGTTATAACTATATCTTACTGGTCAGACCTATTAAAAAAGGGTAGCTGTAGATAATGTTATCTAAAGTGGCTGTAGACATACTTTTTCCATATATATATATATATATATATATATATTCAAAGCTAAAACAAAGTGACTATACTGTCAGTCCATAGTAGATTAGAACAACAAAAATCAGCATATTTATGTATCAGAGAATTACCAAGTTCATTGTTATATAAGAAGGAAGGAATGATTGTTTTAAAATAAAATTACAATGATAAATTCGAAATGAATAAAATTCAGATTCTGTGGATTGGGAAAACATGGAATAATTCACTAGAAATGCTTATGTTACAAGAATAACGTTAACTGGTTCATTACTTTGTTATAGGCTTTTAGCCGTCAAAGAATTCCTTAAAGGACATCTTTTGAGTTACGGTTTTACCAAAAAGAACATCCACTACAGACCCTTTTTTGGGTTCTGGTTAGCCAACAAGCTTTTTTCAATGACAAAAAGAGGCTAGTGAGAAAGGATTTGGATCCTCCCATATTACATACTAACATGACAGAGTAATATAATCAAGAGAGACACAAAAAAGCAACCACATAAAACCCACCATTACTTATGTAGGGTCCATTAAATATGCTTTCATTAGTTTCTTTCTCATAACATGACATTGTCACGTTATTAAATAACACGAGAGTATTCCAGTCCAGTAAAAAAAAAAAATTAATGCTGCATACATTATTTAATCTTTATTTTGCATATTTCCATTTCCATATTGTTGACAAACGAAAATCAAAATCAAGTTGATACATAAATCCAGATTAATTTACTTGTCACTGTCCATGGCAATTATTATTATTATTATTATTATTTAAAAATGGATCAGATCTCAAAACACGGATGAAATACAAATCATGAAACCCTGAACAAAAAGCAACACTAATTCCAAAATCAAAAACTGGAACTATACAAATTTTATAAATTTGAAAAAACTACGAAATGGTAGAGGGCGATAAACTTCTGCATCAAAACATGACTCGTATAATGCTGAAATCTCATTTTGTAAAGGTTCCAGAACCCACATTCTCAAAATCCCTTAACTTTCCTACATTTTCTTACAAAACAAACAGGAAAAGCAAAAGCAGAAAGCCAAGCACAGCTGAAATCTAGATTGCACAACACCAAACCCAGTCAAAAAAAAATAAAAAAATAAAAATGGTGCCCATCATACACAAAGCTAGATCTGGATAAAACCCAAAACAAAAATCTTAGAAAAACATAAACACGAACAATAAAAATAAAAAACAAATAGAATCGACAATGGTGAAATGAAAAACAAAAAAAGAAAAATACAAAAGAAAACAAGAAATGTGGAAAAAGTGAACAGTACCGTTAGAAGATCGTTCATTGTGGAAGAAAGCTGAGAATTTCAAAAGGAAAAAGGGAATGTGAGGAGAATTAAAGGATTACAAGCTGAAAAGGACCTGGTTAACAAGAAACCAGGCCATAGAGTTTCATTCCCACAAAGAGAGAAACAGAAAGAACGTGTTTTTTTCTTTTATTTTTTTCTTTTTGTTTGTTTGTTTGTTTGTTTGAGTTGCGTGTATAATGGTGGTAATGCAAAGTTTGGAAAGGGAACCACCAATCGTGACACACAGATAACACGGTTCGTTGACAGATCATGAACGTTTTTACTCTTTTTTAATTTTGTCAAAATCGTTACTTCGTTAGTCCAACCCCAGATACAAACCTGCATGTTTTTTGTTTTTATTTTTAGGGAAATCATGCTCTTATGTCATCTGAGAGCAAAAAAATTTCCTACACAGATTCGTTTTCCGTACCAATTAATTTTTCTTTTCTTTTATAATATAAAATGTGGGACCCACATTTAATTTCTCTCTACTTTTTTTATCTCATGCAATCCTACAACATGAGAAAATATGAACCCTTATTTTTATATATAAAAGAAGGGTTTTATTAATCTCCTTCCACGTAAGATAGTTATCTTATGTGGTAGAGAGAAAATAGGTGGGTCCCACTATTACAAGAAAAAGAAAAAGAAGAAAAAAGTGAGGTGCGAAAATCGAAGTGAGAGAAAATGAGATAAGTTACCTCATGTAAAAGGAGATTAATATTTCCCATAAAAGAAAGGAGAAGTCTTTATCATTTTAAATGACAGAAAGTTATGTCATTTTAAGAGAGATACAGACATAGAAAATTTGAATTTTAAGTTAAAAAAACCACCTATTTTCTCTCTCTCATGATTTCCGTTTTTTTGTGTCTGTCTCTCTCCTAAAATGACATAACTTATGTCATTTAAAATGACAAACACCAAACCCTTAAAAGAATAATAAAACTTATTTTGCTTCCTAAGAAAAATTACGATTATCAATTTATTTATTTTTTTTAAATTAATCATTTGACCTCTATAAAATTTAAAATGAACTTATTTTAGTTTTTTTGAGAAATTAATATAAGTTTTTTTTGAATTTATGAGAGATGATTTCAACTACATAGATTCACTCTAAATTTTATATAAACCTTGGAATTAATTTTTTTTTTTATAAATAATTAAAAAGAAGATCACAATTTGTTTTTTTTTTTAATGAGTTTAATAAAAATTATATATAAAGGGAATCGACCATTATGTCACAGGAAGAAGAAGGCTTTTCTCACCGCCAAAGCGGATCCCACAGGAGAGAGAAAAAAGCAGCCAAAAATGATTAGTCTGATGGAAACAGCTTCTTCATCCGGTACATGACAATTACGTTATATATATAGGGTTTAATAAGAGTTATGTTGTAGGAAAAGTGATTGTGTTATGTTATAGAGATTCGTTTTGCGTGCCGAAGTTTTTTTTTTTTTTTTTGCTGCGGGCCCCGCAAAATGTTGTGTGTGTAGTAAAATTTTTGTGGTCATGTTAAATGATAGATGATAAACCCATATCTATATATATATATATATATATATATATATATGGGGTTTGCATTTATCATTTAACATGACACAAAAAAGTTTCTTACACACACAACATTTTGTGGGGCCCACACTTTTTGAAGCAAAAGAAAAAACTACGGCACGCAAAACGAATCTCTATAACATTACACAATCACTTTTCCTACAACATAACTCTTATAAAATCATATATATATATATACAGAAAAATATTTCTGCAATTAATGCTGATAAGTTATCTGCATTTATTTTCAAAAAGACGTTATTTTGGGATTAAAAGATTGGAAAAATATAATTTTAAAGACTATAATAAGCTTGAAATAAATTAAAATTACAAAAATACCATGATTTCTGCCCAAAACGATGTCGTATTGGACTTACTGCAGATTACTTATCTGCAGTAACTGCAGAAAAAGCGAACCCATATATATATATATATATATATATATATATATCTTTGTTTTTTCTATACTGAATCCAAAATAACATCATATTTAGATAAAAATCAAAATATTTTTGTAATTATAATTTATTTTAAGATTATAACAGTTTTTATCATTATAATTTTTAATTTTTCAATATAAAATAACGTCGTTTTAAGAACGAAGGTAGATAATATATCTACCTTCATTGTAGAAACATTAAAGTATATATAACCGTCAGATTAACAGAAGTTAATGATTAAAATTTGATGTCAAACTTTTTAGTTTGACACCTGTATCAAAAGAACCTATTTCAAATCTTAACCATTAATATCCGTCAATCTAACCGTTGATTTTATCAATCTAATGGTTATAATTTATTGTGTTACACTTATTAATTCATTATTAATTCTCAATAAAATATAACAGTTAGATTAGCGGAAATCAATGGTTAAGATCTAGTATCAAAGAATCCTATCTTTTATATATATATGGGTTTACATTTTTGCAGCTGCTGTGCGTGCAGCAATCACATACTTTCCATATATATACTTCAAAGCATTAAATGCAATGAATCATAACCATACAAAGGATGAAAGTATTAAATATGGGGAATCATAACCATACATCTGTCGTTGTTGTACGTAAAGCGGCTGCAGAAATAATTTTACCATATATATAGTCAACTTGTACCGATATAAGAATAATAAGTTTTACACCAAATCTTAATCCTTGATTTCTATGTATCTAACGATTATGATTTATTGAAAATTTATAATTAATTAATGGGTGTGACTAGGGGTGATAAACTAGCCAGGGGCCTTTGACTCGGCTCGTGAAGGCTTGAGCTTACATGCCTAATATTGGTTGTTGGAATGAGGCTTGGACTTGTATAAAAGCTCGTTTAGTAAAAAGGCCTCAGATTCTGTTATCAAAAAAAAAAAAAAAAGGCCTCAGATTCCAGTTCAAAAGCTCGGCTTTGGAGCCTCTCAGGCTGGCCTAGTATATTAGTTTTTATTTTTATTTTTATTTTTTATATTATTTGTAATAGCCCTTTCTCTCCTCTCAATCCATTTCACCCCTATTTTATTAGTTAAACAGACTTTTTGAATGATTTTGTTTTATATTATGCTGTTTGGATATACATTGAATTTATGAATATTTATGGAATTACAAGTGTTGTTGATTGTATATTCTGTTTGGATAAATTTTTGTTGTCTTATTTTTTTCTAACAGGCTAAATCAGGCTTTTATTTTTTGTAAATAAGGAAGGACACAGGCCGATAATTATATTCGTAACAGGTAATAGGCTTGGTAAGGCCGACACATTTAAACACAGGCTTAGCCTTTTAAGACCAAAGCTCGGCTCGGCCCGTTAACACCCCTAGGTGTGACCCAATAAATCACAATGGTTAGATTGTGTCATATTAATCAGTGGTTCAAATTCGATATAAAACTTGTTATTCTTACACATGTGTACACACACTCACACATTATATATATATGTGTGCGTGTGTGGTAAAATCATTTCTACGGCCGCTTTACGTACAATAATGACATGTGTATGGTTATGATTTCCCACATTTAATGCTTTCATCTTTTGTATGGTTATGATTCTCCACATTTAATATTTTCACGTATATATATGGCAAGTATTTGACTGCTGCACGTACAGCAGCTGCAGAAATGTAAACCCCTATATATATATATATATATATATATATATATATATATATATATATATATGATTTATTAATCTCCTTTAATAGAAGATAGCTTGCATCATGCCATAGAAATAAATTATGTGGGTCCCATCATTTAAAAAAAAAAAAATGGCACAATTTTTTACGCCTCACTAACATAAGATAATTGTCTCCTGTAAAAGGAGATAATTTAAACCCTGTGTGTGTGTGTGTGTGTGTGTGCACCCACAGACACACACGTATGTGGCTAATAAATTTTAACCGTTAGATGTAGGGAAATCAACAGTTAGGGTTTGTCAAACTCCATACTTTTTAGCCAAATAACTCTATATATATAGCCAAATTTTTAACTATTTATAATAACAAAATTTATAAAATCGTAAATAATTGTGAAATTTAAATTAACCAAATTTGAGAATTATTATCGCTGCAATTGTACCGTGGACAAGCGCAAGGCTAAATTTATTACATTAATATAAAATCAAAGACTAAAGTTTAACTAAAGAAAATATGTCTTATGCATTTATTAAATCTCATAAAATTTCTTTACCAAAAAAAAAATCTCATAAAATTTCTAAACTTTAACTACCCATAGCTAGCCACATCTTTTACAACCTGTTTCCCTAAAAATTTGCTCCCCCGAAGGATCATTGCAGCCAAACAAACACAAACACAAATAGTTAGCAAAGCTGGTAATCCCAATCCAATATACAAAAAAAATATAACTCATAATAATCAAATCAAGTAATATAACTCAAAAATTCAAATCAAGTATCAATAATCATATTAATCTTTATTTTGTCCATTTAGTGGAAAGAGAATCATGGTAGACCTGGGAAACCCTGTTGCCAGTCTACCCCGTGACCTGGGAAACTCTATTGCCAACCACGTATAATCAAAATTGGCCATATCAAATCTTAGTGTGCACATATCTTCCAAAGTTGCTAATAGTATCCCGGGAAACCCTGTTGCCAGATACCATGTTGGGAAGAACGGAAAACATCATTGTCAACGGACAACATTATTGTCACAGCATGTAATATCGAAGGCATAAAACCTAAAGGTTGTGTTCATCACTTTCAGGAGGTACCATCCAAAAAGTTATCTTACCACCATTAGTTTATTACAAACACACACAATTAGGCAAATTCAATCTTGTCACAATTCTTATAATTGAAAATTTTCCTCAAATAGTTTTCATAATTTCCACATCAATTTAATCAAAAGTATAATCTCCAAATCCATCATAATTTTCTTATCCATTATCCAAGAATATCTTAATTTTCATATTCGACATCTACCAGAGTAAAATCCAAATCCAATCATCA